AACATCTTCAGTGCTGGTAGGACAGTCAACCCCCACCCTACCTCACGCTGACTGGGGAATTCTGGGAGTTGGAAGTCCATGCACTGCCAAGTTGCCAAGATGGAGAAATGCTATGCCGGTACCTCGGGGAATAAGCTAAATGACAGACAAATGACTTAGCGTCGTCGTGAAGATGAACTGAGGAGGGCCTAACCCCCATCTTGCTTTCCTGCCATGTAGCCTCGCTGATTCGTGGGAACCGTTCCAACTGCGCCCTGTTTTCCAACAATCTGGACTGGCTGGTCAGCAAACTGGACCGATTGGAGGCATCCTCTGGTGAGCAGAGGGGGCGTTGCAAGTTTGGTTCCAATTCAAGAGCCACGGGTGGCGCCGCGGTGAGAATGCAGGATTGCAGGCTAGCTCTGCCAACTGCCAGCAGTTCGATCCTGACTGGCTCAAAGTTGGACTCAGCCTTCCGTCCTTCCGAGGTCGGTCAAATGAGGACCCCGATTGTTGGGATTTCACTTAACGGCCGTGTTCCTAACTTAACAACGGCAGCGATTCACTTAACAACGGTAGCAGGCAAAATCGTAAAATGGGGCACCACTCACCGCATGGCTGTTTTGCTGAGCAATGGAAGTTTTCGACTCGGTTGCGGTCGTAAACCGAGGACGACCTGCGTTCGTGATTTTTTTTCTGGATTCGCAGAATGCCGTTGGCAGCCATTTTGAGCCACGCTTTCTCGCCATGAAAAGAAGAACTTAATTAATCTTAATTAACTAGGAAAACGGCAGGGGATTGTTGCCAAGCAAAGTGTGAAAACAGACTCCTTAATCTCATTCTTCAGGCATTTTGGAGGTATTGTATTGTGTCCTCATTGAAAGTCCAGAAGTGCTGAATATCATCCAGGAAAACCACATCAAATCCATCATCTCCCTCCTGGACAAACATGGACGCAACCACAAGGTGAGTTGCGGTGAGCTTGACCTGTGCTTGTGGTTTTCTTCTGGTGTACCTACATTTTGTGGCAAGCAACGCCCTCTTTAGAAGGGGCTGGATACAGGTGGGGGAAGCTTGAAGACCTGTGGACTTCCAGAATCCCTGAGCCAGCATCCCATCCCATCCCAACCCTTCCCAACACAACCCAACCCAACTGATCTCACTCCAACCCATCCCAACTCACTCCACCCCAATCTATCCCAACCCAACTCATTCCAATCTATTCCAACCCAACCCATCCCAACCGAACCCAACCTATCCCAACCCATCCAACCCAACCCAACTCAACTCATCCAACCCAACTTATCCCAACACAACCCATCCCAACCCATCCAACCCAAAACAACCCATCCCAGTGTAACCCAACCCAACCTATCCAACCCAACTCAACCCATCCAACCCAACTTATCCCAACACAACCCATCCCAACCCATCCAACCCGACACAACCCATCCCAGTGTAACCCAACCCAACCTATCCAACCCAACCCAACTCAACCCATCCAACCCAACTTATCCCAACACAACCCATCCCAACCCATCCAACCCAACACAGCCCATCCCAGTGTAACCCAACCCAACCTATCCAAACCCATCCAATTCATCCCAACCCATCCAACCCAACCCATCCCAACGTAGCCCAATCCAACCTATCCAAACCCATGCAACCCAACCCAACCCAACCCATCCAACCCAACCTACTCCAGCACAATCCATTCCAACACAACCCATACAACACAACACAGCGGTGGCTCTTCCCTTCTTCCTTTGGCAGGTGCTGGATGTTCTCTGCTCTCTGTGTGTCTGCAATGGCGTGGCCGTCCGCTCCAATCAAAACCTGATCACCGAAAACTTGCTGCCGGGGAGAGATCTTCTGTTGCAAACGAAGCTTATCAATCATGTCACCAGGTAGCCGCTTGGCCCTCTTTGATGTCCCTCTGCAGTGGGTCTTTCAGGGTTTAGCTGGCGTCAAAGAGGATCGATTGGGAGGGGGGTGATACACATTGGAATTGAGGTGGACCCTTGCATTTAATCTAGTAACCACCTCCAGGATGGCACCCCCACCCGCCCTCCAGACCCCAGGCCAACCAACAAAGCCAGATCTTAAGATCTTTAATGGAAGACCAGAAGGGTGGGTGAAGTCTGTAGAGATTTCTCAGTCATCCATGGTCATGGTTGTCCCAAAGGTGCTTTGGGATTGTTTCCCCCCAGTGAAAGAAATCCCCATCCTACAAGCCTACAACCAGGAGGTTTTTCCACTGTCCTCCCATTCCTCTGCTGATTGGATCTAATTTGATCCTAGGAGAAGATGATTTCATTCCTGTCCCATCCGTCTCTCGGCTCTTGCAGGCGTGGTTTGAACACAGTTTTTTTAAAAAATAATGTCAGTTTAATGTCGGTTTGCTTTTTCACCTTTTCATTTGCTTGCCACCAGAAGTTGTGGGTGCTCCATCACTGGAGGTTTTTAAAAAGAGACTAGACAGCCACTTGTCTGATACGGTTTAGGGCAGAGGTTGGCAACCTTGAACACTCAAAGAGCCATTTGGTTCCGTTTCCCACAGAAAAGAAAACATTAGGAGCCACAAAACTTACTGGGTGGGGTTGAAAAGCTCAATAAATCACTTGCCAGCAGGTGTCGCACATTGGCAGTTGTGACACATATTTTGAGCGACAGGGAGCCGCACTAGAGGGATGAAAGAGCCACATGCGGCTCCGGAGCTGCAGGTTGCCGATTCCTGGTACAGGGTCTTGTGCTTGAGGAGGGGGCTGGACTAGAAGACCTCCAAGGTCCCTTCCAACTCTATTCTGATTGATTGATGGAATTATTTTTCACCTGCTTTTATGCTATGTAAGCACCCAGGGTCACCTTGTAGGGGAGAGGGCCATCCTAGGAATGTAATAAATAAAATAAATGACAAGAATCCTGCTTCGCTTTTTGGCTAAGGCCAGGATTCTTCTTCCCTGTGTTCTCGATTTTTCCGTACTGATCCTTCCTTCTCCCTGTCTTCTCTTCCGCTTGCAGCATGCGCCCCAACATCTTTCTGGGTACCCACGAAGGAACCACCCAGTACAAGAAGTGGTATTATGAGATGATTGTGGACGTGGTGGAGCCTTTTGTGACTGCCCAGGCCACGCATTTGCGGGTCGGCTGGGCCATGGCCGAAGGCTATAGCCCCTACCCAGGGGGTGGAGAAGGCTGGGGCGGCAACGGCGTTGGGGATGATCTTTATTCTTTTGGCTTCGATGGTCTCCACCTGTGGTCAGGTGAGTTTGGTTGCATCCGTGGCTGGTTCGCTTGGGGCAAATGGATTGAAACCTCTAGGGGAGAGGCCAGGGGCGTCAAACTCAAGGTCAGGTGTAGATCCAGCCCATGGGGTGCTTAAATCTGGCCTGCGGGGCTGGTCTAGAACTATCAAAGGAGCGGACTGGGGTGCCTCTGGCAGCTAAATCCCCACACCTCATTTTTCACCCTCCATGGCCTCCTGCAGTGCAATGCCGGCCGAAAGTGGGCTGAAAACCAGGCTGAAAGATGGACTGAAGACAGGCCGGAAAATGGCCAAAAAATAGGCCCGAAACAGGCCCTAAAATGGGTCAAAAATGGCCCCCAAACAAGCCTAAAGTATGGCCCCAAAACAGGTCAAAAACGGCCAAAAACAGGACCCGAAATAGGTCAAAAATGGCCAAAAAACAGGCCCAGAAACAGGTCAAAAACAGGCCAAAAACAGGCCTC